CCGTACCAAAAAATTCAATTGAGGCAGACCCAGGTCAACTGATGAACAAGAAAGTGCATCTGCCAACAATGTGCATCTGTATTTGCATATTTTTATCCTCAGAGTGCATTTGGAAGGCTTTTTTATCAACTGTCTAGTCTGTAAATTGCATTTTTCCACCAGACAAATCTCAGAAATGCTGAGTTGGCAAACACATCTGTTAGATGACAAATAAAATTCACCTCAGCATCTTTGAGATACATCCAATGTCTAAAGAGAGTAAAGGTTCATGATGCTTGGAAAGAATCCATAAAGTAGTCCCTTCCCAATAGTAGGCTAAATGTATGTGCACTCAGCTGCACATACATTTAGCCTACGATATTTCTAGACATTGCTGTCTAGAATATTGGAGGTCAGTGGACGCAGAGGCGCTGTCAGTGGGAAGGGTCAGGTGTGGCTGTTCCCTGGTAGCTGCTCCGTGGGGATTGAGCCGGGCCCAGCAGGGCTGGGTTGTTCAGGCTTGGCTCGGTGCTGTGGCCAGGCAGCTGCAGGTCTCTCCTCAGGGAGTTGCAGAGTGCCCCATCCTCAGGGCTGGGGGAAATCAGGGCGCTGAGACAAGAGAGGCACCTGAGGGGCTCCCTCCTGGCCGGCCAGTCCTGCTGCCGGCCCTGTCTGGCAGGGAGCGGGAGCTCTGCGGCCGCAGGAACTGCCGCTGGCTGTGGCACCTGTGGCACTCGGAGCTGGCGCTGCGGGGCCATGGGCAGGTTTAGCCTGGAGCTGTGCCCAGCCGGGGAGGCTGGGGGAAAGCAAGGAGCCCAAGGTGCCCGACAGCAGGGAAGCCTCTGCCCCAGTGCCCGTGTGTGCCCGTGGAGCCCTGGCTGGGAGATGGCTGCAGGCCGCTCCATGGCGGGGTGCCCCGCCCGGGGCTGCAGCGCCCATGGCCGACCCTGTCCTTACAGTGACCTCGGAGATGGCCGCTGGTGCCCAGCGCCGAGAGCAGCCACGCCGTGGGACTGTGCAGAAGGACACGGCCTCTGCAGACCCACAGCAGTCCTTGCAGGAGGCACTGTCCTTGCTCGGCAGCGATGACTGGTAAGAAAGGCCCCGTTCACTCTGTGTCCCTCTTAGCCTTAAGGCTGGTTAGAAGTGAGTCTTGCTGGTGCCTCTGAGCCCCGAGAGCCCAGAGGGCCAAAGGGCACTGGTGAAACCACTGCAGAGCAGTGAGAGGATAAAGATTTGAGAGCAGCCTTTTCTCAGCCTTGCTCTGCAGCAGTGCTCCAGCTGCAGCAGGTCTGTGCTGTTTCCTCCATTTGCCTGCTGCTCCATGGGGCTGCAAAGGAAGTCTTGAGGGAAGAGAGAAAGCTGTGGGATGAGATGATTTGCTGGCTGAAGGCAGAGCAGGATGGCAGCAGTTTTGAGTGCAGAGATTTGGGTGCCGTGGGCCACTGGCCCAGTGGGACTGAGTAAGATTCCTCTCTGCTCCCACTGCTGCCAGCAATGGCAGGTGACAGGGTCTCCCTGTGACCTCCTGCATGGCAGTCCCAGAAGCAGCTCCAGGGAGTTCCTCCTTCTGAGAAACGGACTGAGCTGTGCTTTCAAGTCCCTCAGCCTGTCATTACTCCTAAGGGCTCATGGCAGAATAGAAGGAAAAAAGAAAATCCTCTAGGAATCTTGCAGTTTTGGAATTCAACTTTTTCCTTCTCACTGCTTCATATGGGCCTGAGATGTTTTGTCAATACTCACAGTGTGTCCCAAAATTATACACAGGCAGAAGGAAGCCCAGAGGTGATAACCCTACAATGTTAGGTGATATTGGTTTTCTTTTTGGTGTCTTTTTGATCACTCTGGTGGATGCTTCATTCACACAGGGGTAAGGCCTCCATTCACACTGGCATAACCATGAAAAATCTGCCACAATGCATCTCCTTGTGCAGCTGCCTTTGCTCTGCCCTTTCTCTTCCCCATTTCTCTTTGGTGCCCTGTGAGGTGCAGACAGATCCTGCAGGTGTGGGGGGTCAGGATGACACTCAGGGGTGCCTGTGGGATCGGTCACCAGCCCTGTGCTGCAGCCCTGATGCCTCACAGACCTTCCTCTAGCTGAGGGCCTGCGCAAAGCAAGTGCTGGGAGATGGGGTTGTTTGCAACTTTTAAATAACATGTTGCTGTTGTGGGGGTTGTTTTAGGTAGGGGGGTTTGGGAAAAGCCAGAGTTTCAACAGTTCTTGCCCAGGGGTGGAATCTTCTAGGACATCCTGCTGCTTTTTAGGGGAGTGTGTGAGGTGGAGTGGGTGACACAAAAGCCCAGACTGAAGAGGGGAAGCTCAGCTCCAGAGTGCCAGTGCAGACTGTCACTGCTGAACTGCCTGCTGGGGCTGACAAAGAAGGAAAATGTCCCAGGAACAGCCCCATGGAACTGTGTCTCAGGGACTGGTACAGGGAGGTGACAAGACACAGCAGCATGGTCCAGTCTCACAGCTTCTAGGAAGCAGTGACAGAGGGGCATCATGTGCCAGAGATTTCAGAAATACTGTCTTCTTAAACGGCCACAAATGAAGACTCTGGTACCCCTCTAGTTGCCTCTTGGATTTTTATATGCTTTTGACAGCCACAGCATCCTGTGGCAACGCGTTCCACAATTTCATTAAGTGCTCCTTGAAAAAAAAGCACCTCCCGTGGTTTGGATGAGCTGCCAGCCCGGTCATTTCAGAGGGTGCTGCCTAGTTCTTGGATGGAGAGAAATATCAATCTTTTTGGTACTTGCCTTTCAGGGAGCAGAAGGAGAAGGGACTCTTCAAGATCAAACAGCTGGCTGAGTCCCATTCAGATGTCCTGCTTTCTCGACTTCGGGATATTTGCTTGGCACTTACCAGCGAGGTGAGAACATTGCTCTGAATTGTTCCCCATACTTCATACATGGTGTGTAGAGTAGGTGTGTGCTTGTTCATCTCCATGTGTGCTCAGGGCGTGTCTTCATTTCTGGTTTTAGACCTTCTATTTCTAATGTCTGTCAGCTATCTGTAGGCTCTGTGTGTACATGGAGCTGTATTTACTGGTAGGTCAGGTATCTGACCCTTGTCTTTGAGTGAGGTGCCATTATAATGCAATGTGCAAATGCAGAAACTGAGACACTAATGACATTATTTACCAGAATCCTAATCTCTGCCCAAACTGTAATTCAACACTGCAAATTAGTCTGTAGACCTGAGGCTGTGTTTTCTGTTTCCTGGCTGAGTGCTTCAACTGCTAATGTTGCTTTCTGGAATAGGAGCACCTGACTCTTTTATCTTTATGACTTGTGCCTTTATGATTTGAAAGCAGTCCTTGTTTTAATTTACTAGCAAAAGGACCTGAAATCAAAGTAGTGGGCATTTTAGAAGTGTAAAATAGAACATTTTAGTGAATTTTGTTTTTAAGACTGCAGTAAGCAGGTCTGAGGCCAGAAATTGAGTAAGTGCTTTCTGTGCTTGTGCTCTTCTGCTCTTATTGTGCTTTTATGTTCCTCTGGACACAGCAGGATGTTTTGTCATTTCCTGGGGCTTCTGTCGAAGGCAACTGATTTCTTTTCAAGGTGATTCTTATGTTTTCCCTCATGACTTCCCCAGGTGACCAACCTCCGTTCAAAGGTGTCCTTCTCCGCAATTGTCACTCTGGGAGAGTTCTTTGCAAACCTGAAGAAGGACATGGACTCTGAGGTGGATGAGGTTGCTCCAGTCCTTCTCCAGGTGGTGTGGAACACCCCAGAGTTCATTCAGAAGGCAGCCTGTCATGCCCTGAGGCTCATGGTGGAAAATGTGACTCCTGCACGAGCAATGATTGCTCTCATGGACAGGGCAGTCAAGTAGGTTCTTCCTCTTTTAGTGATATTCTTCACCTTCTAGTGTGTGGGAGGGGGAAGGGATGAGAGAGAGAGTGGGAATGGCGGGAGGGAAGAGTCCTGTATCCTGCATCTTCTGTGAACTCAGGGACTTGATTCTCTGATCTACCTCATTTTTTTCCTCTTGTCACGTATTTCTGCCCTCCTGCAGCAGAATCATAGAACTTCTCAGAATCACAGAACTGTAGAATATGGGGAGTTGGAAGGGGCCCTTCAGGATCATCAGGTCCAGCTTTTGGCTTTGCACAGAACAGCCCAAGGGTCACAGCAAGTGCCTGAGATTATTGTCCAAATGCTTCTTCAACTCTGTCAGGCTTAGTGCTGTGACCACTGCCCTGCGGAGCCTGTTCCAGTGCCCAACCACCCCCTGGGTGGAAAACTTTTCTCCTGATATCTAAACTAGAGCTCCTCAGATGCAGCTTCCTGCTGCCTCCTGGAGTTCTCCCAGTCTGTCAGATTTTCCTAGACATGATGACCACTGGGGAAATGAAAGGCCAAGGATAGAGCCTTGTGCTTTTGTGCTTTTGCAGCTGTGAATGGTGTTTGGTATTTAACAGCACTAACCACAGAGGCCCTGGGAAAACCATGTCTCCTCATGATGCCATTAATTTGAGAAATAAGGAGGGTGCTTGCTGGTGCCTAGAGCACATGGGGGAGAATGTGTTGGTGAGGCACAGCCTACACAGCAAGTAGAGCTCCTGCCAAAAGGAGTCTTGTATGACTGTCCTGGCCTTAGAGCTCTACTTTCAATTCAAACTGATGTTTCATGTTAGCCTTGAGATGATGAATCACTTGACAGGCACCTTCACAGGCCAACTGCCATGGGACAGATGAAGCAAATGCTGCCTTAAGTGCTGGTGCTGGGCTGATAGTTGCCAAGAGGCACTCTCTAGAACAGGACAACCTGGCTAAACTGCCTGCCACCCTTTCCTCAGCTTTTCAGTAGGGTAAAACATTCAGATATATCCGTTGCCAAGCTTCACAGAAGAAACAGGCTGCATTGCTGGATATTCTGCAACTTCGCAGCCCACAGCATGTTTTCCCTGCATTTGTTTTTCTCCGAAGGTCTGCAGATTTGGGGAGAAATGGGTGGAAAGAGTGTCAATCCTGCTGCAGCTCTGTGTAGTGGGTGCCCTCTGATGGGTCAGCATGAATTGTCCTTAATTTCTTAATAATTCATATGTGATCTATTCCTTTAATCTTTCTCAGAGAAAATACTGTGAAAGAAATGGAGTATCAGATAGTGCAGGGAGACTGAATTCCGCCCTGTTCCTTGCAGGCAGTCCTTCTGTACAATGCTAGCTTTGTGTTTATCTGAGAACTGAACCTTCTACAGGTGTCTCAAGTTGCAGGGAGAAGCCAGGCTTCCTTCCCCCAGCAAGGACAGGGAGCAGGCTCTGGCCAAGGCCTGTGCTGCTCTTGCTCCTTCTCCCTGTGCCCAGGGTTTGCTCTCTTCTTCCCAGGAGCCGCTGTGCCCAGGTGCGGGAGTGCGCGGCCGAGCTCCTCCTGTCTTTGATGGAGAGAATGGGAGTCACAAAGCTCGCAGACACCCCCAGGGCTGAGATGCTGGCACACGTGGCAGGGAAGCTTGCACAGGACTGTCACCAGGACACAAGGTAATGATCTTCATTTCACCTCCTCAAACAGGAAAACCGTTTTGTGTCTGGCTAGAAAGGTAAAACCACAAATTAATGGAAACTAAAGGAAATAATAAGTGACCTCACGATGTGGCTAAGGGGCACAGACTCAGAGAATATGCTGAGTTGGAATGGACCTGTCAGGGTCACCCAGTCCAGCTCCTGGCCATGTGCAGGGGGCCCCAAGAGTCACTCCACATGCCTGGGAGCATTGTCCAAACACTTCTTGAGCTCAGTCAGCCTTGGTGCTGTGACCCCTGCTTTGGGTTGCCTGGGAAATGACTGTAGTGGGTAACCTGAGGTTGGCCAGCAAAAAGGTGCATTGCCAACTTCCTGTAACTTGAAGGATTCTTACTGAGATCAAAAGACCCCAATTAGCCAGTCAAACAGTTTTGTTTGGTCTTAGGTGCACAACACAAAGCCAAAGTGTTGGCTAATGTTATTCACTGAAGGATCCCAAACATCTGTTTCTCATTAAGACTTTCCTAGAAATATTTCAGGGTTTGTTAGCCAATGTATTCAGTCTTTCTAAATCCCTTCTGCAGATTTCTGCAATGCTGTTATCTGTGGCTCAGTGACCTCCAAATTTCTTCTTGAAGAAGACTGTGGTTTCCTAGTGGCCAAAGCAACCCAAACCACCAAAAGCCCCTTACTTTGATGATGAAATTCCCATTAATAGCTGCCAAGAACACCAGAGCAACTAGCTGCCTCTGTGCATACATATAGTATAGAATAATCAATAGGATGCATGAGGTGTTTTGTCCTGGCTTCCCTGCCAGTTAAAGAAAGGCAAATTATTGTGCGATGGCAGCAGGACACTGCTAATAGGCTCTGCCAACAAAGCAGATGTGTTTTGCATGTTCTCTGGGAATACCCACAGTTTCAGAGTGAAATGGTATTTTTCTGTGGCCCCACATTCTCCTCTTGTCTCTTGTGTTCAGCTGACAACACTGTGCAGTGTCAAGTGGAGGGAAATCTCCCTCTTTGCTGAGTAGGAAATGCCTTCTCATGCAAGGATTGCACCTGATGAGTTTAAGATATCATCCTCTTCTGTTAAAACTCTTCCTTTGTTCATTTTTTCGTTTCCTTCCTTCCTTCCTTCCTCCCTTCCTTTCTCCCATCCTTCCTTAGGCATTTTGGACAGGAGATGGTGAAGGTGTTTCTGAGTCACCAAAAATTGAAAATGCTTTTGGAACGATCTCTTTCCACCCGTGACCTGGAAGACATTCTGACAAGAATTAAGAAGAAAGTAAGTGCTTGGCAGGAGAAATGTCTCCTTTGTGCAAGTATTGCCACTGCTCATACGAGGTCAAACATACCCAATCTGTCTTTATCTCATTCCTCTTCTGCTGCATCATTTTGCTCCTGGGAATGAGCTGTTAAACCTCAGCCTGTTCATTTGCAGGCCACAAAGGGACTGATATTATTAGGGAAAAAGTGAAGTTTTGAATATTTTGAATATTGGTCACAAAGAAGAAAGGGAAAGAGGAGAAAATGGATTTATATTTAAGAGTAAGGCCCCCACCACGCTCTCCCTGCTCTGCCCCCAGGAAAGCAATTAAATGAGAATAGGAGATAACAGAGTCTGAAGATAACAGTGTATTTGCAAAAGACACCAGAAGTAGTAGTACCAAGAAAATTTCCAAATATACAAAAGATGTCCAAGTCAATCCTAGCTGCTACAATTACTATCTGTCTTTTGGGAATACTGCCCTACTGTCACGCCCTGTGGAGCTGGAAGAAGCTTGGTGAATCCAGCAGCATCCAGCGAAAAATCCTTTGTTTGTTTGGAGGGGGATTTTACTTTTTTTAATTGAAAATATAGAAGGGAGTCTGCCTTTCTGCAGGCACAGGGAGAGTGAGTGTTGAACCAAATCAACTTCCAAACAATGGGCCAATCCCCAAAGAGTCCCATTTTTTCTGCTGCTTCCTTTAAGAACACTCATTGCCTACCAGTTTGCATGATTCCCATTTGTGCTCAAGATTAATGAATTTGGGGGTTTAGACTGCTGCTCAGTATGGTAGCACCCATAACCTGCCTTGGGCTATAGAAAACAAAGAGTTGGCATCACTGAATCTCTGGTCCGTTTCTTTCTGTAAGTTAGGAAATGTTTCCCTAAGCCTTGATAGCAGTGATCCTGGTTCTAACTGGTGTTTTAAACAGGGAATTTCCTATTTTATATTCTAAAGATTGATGGGGTTTCTCCGTGTCTTTGTAGGGGATGGAAAACCAGAAGAGTGAATGCCCATCTGTCAAGGAGCCGGTGGAGAAGAGGAATGATGGCCCGAAGAAGCCCCAGGACACGATGCCTTCTAGCAAACGGTACTGAGCACTTTTGTGAGATGTGACCAAGCACATGACAAGCTTTACATGCCTCTCCCTCAGGAAAATCTTTCTGGCAGAGATGACCAGTGCCAGGGATTGTTTCCTCTCCCTACAAACGCTCTAGGATAAAAAATGTCTACCTCTGCATTACACTGAACACAACTTCTCTGGAGGGGTTTTCACAAAAATGGAGAGACAAAAAGACACCCATTGGTTGCAGCTCAGACAATCCACTGCAATGCCAAGGGCACAGTTGTGGAGGCTATGCCAGGGCCAAGTTTCTGCTGCCTGACTTGGGATAGTAAATTCAACCAGGGCTTTTTTCATCTGAGTGGAATCTTTTTCAGATGGGTATTTTGATGAGCAGTCCCAGTCTAGAAGCAAGATGCCATTCCACAAAGATGCAGTCCTCATCCATGTGGTTTGGCCTGGCTGAATCATGGTTTTCTTACCCTCAAACAGTACCAAGTTTGAGTAGTAAGTAGCAAGGCAGTTCCTGAGCAGCTTTGGTCAACAGGTGTCTCAATGTGGGCTTTTTGTCTTGATATTCCTGTCCTTCATATAGGTTGCTTGATGGACAGCATGCTTGGTTGATTTCCTCCTGTGCTGCAATCAGCATTTAAGACAGGAATTTTGTCCTCGCTGTCTCTCCATGCCAATGGCAGAGACTTGTACCTGTTCTCCTCTGATAACAGAGGGGATTTATTTAGCTCTGTCACACTCAGTGGTGTCAGGAAAGTGACCACGTGCCTCAGGAGCATGGCTAGCATCTTCCCGTGCTCATGAATGAGAGAGGTTGATCCAGGAGAATTGTTCCCAGTGGGGTTGTTAAGCTGTGGATCTGGTCTCTAGGGAAGCAAATGAAATGTGAGCATAGTTCTGGGATATCTGGCTTCTGGTTTTATCTCTGTTACTGATTTTCTGGATCCTTCAGGTATGTCCCTGTTCATTTGTTCAGATGCATCTGAGCTACTTTTCCAAATTGTCATGGCTGGTTGTAGAGGCACTTCTCCAGAGCAATGAGTTGCCTTATTAAAAGACACACACGTCCCATATGAGGAGGCATTTAAACTTGGAAGTAGCGTCTCTCTTTCCCCACAAAGCAATGTGACCTGTGTGCCTTGGAAGCCATCTGAAGATAGATCAGATGCATCTCATCCTTGGTTTTCCTGAGTGAGCAGTGTGAGAATGTCACTTGCAGATTGTCTCCCATAATGATTGTCACAAGGTTCACATTGTTCTTCAGAGCCTCATTATTTTCTAGCTTGAAATCACATCATTAGGAAAGCTCCTCAAGATATTTGCTCACATTTCACTGAAGGTATCATCACCAACAGGTTCTAATTTGGTTTTGTTTTCCAGGGTGGAGTCTACTTCTGATGGACGCCTATTACACCGTGCGAAAGCCCAGGTCACGTTACCTGCAGCTGTGGAAGAGATGGATATGCTCCAGAAGCTTTACCATCTCCTGCAAGCCAAGGGGTTTCAGACACGGCTGGAAGGAGTGGCACTCCTCCCAGAGCTGTGCAAAAGCAGCCCCCAGCTAATCTCCAAGAACATTGTCCAAGTATGTAGGGTATTTTCATTCTTCCCTTCCTTTAGTTCCTTTCCCAAGCCTGTAGGGTAAAGGTAATTCAGTGTGTCTTGGCACAACATCCTGGCTGTTTGGGACAGGCTGGTCCCTCTTACCCAGACAAATTTAATTCAGGTCCAGGCTTCAGGACAAGTTATTTCAGTCCAGCTGTATTTGTCTGGCAGGTGCCTATTGAGGCTGTTCATCAGATGATGACAGAATTTTCTTCTGGTGTAACTGCTGCTGTCTCCTACTCCCAGTTGGGTTAATTGAAGGGAATCCAGCCACTGAAAGCATGGCAATTATTATCCAGATTAAAAATGGGTTTGCATGGGGAACAGAAGTATCAGGCTGGGTTGGTTTAAACCCAGGATTTTTTAAACAATACATCTGTAAACTCCATCTTGTCTTACACAGGCACAACTCTGGCTACTCATTTCCATCCTTGTCCCTATTCCTCTTGGTAAAGACAGTTCTCAGCCTTCTTGGGGAGCCTTTTTTCTCTTTGGAAAAGGAGGAAAACAGCTAAGGACAGATCTCTGCCTTCTCCTCCCAGTAGTTGCTTTTTCCCTTTTTCCAGAAAAAGGTGCCTGATAATGTGGCTGTCAAGGGGACTGAACCTGCTCTAATGAGAGCTGTACAGCACATGGCATTTCAGAAGTCCACCTTTTACTTAGAGAAGTGGTCTGGATCCTGGAGGGGTTGATTGGAGCCCTGCACTTCTCCAGACACAGATTCTGAGACAAACAAAATAAAACTTAGATCTCCTCCAGCCATAGTTTTGGAAAAATCATAATTGCCCTCAGTATTTGAGGCAACTGTATAGAAAAATGGGCATTGTAAATATCTGCTTCCATACTTGTAAAGCAAAGGTAGCCTTTTGCATTAATAAATGGAATTGATTTAATGATTTATAGACGGAGAGAAATGCCATAGGAACTATTCTGTCCCCAACCAAAACACTTAAAAACAGAAGAAAATCATTCAAGCAGCATGAGGTTGCACAACCATTCCAGTGAGTGGCCCACAGGAAAACAGTGAAATTGTGCAAGCAAGTGCTGACCTGAGAGAAAGGATCTCCTGAGTGCTGCATCCACACTTCAAACAAGGACATTTTAATCCAGCTTTCATGTTGCTTGTTCTCTTCACAGATTTTTGATTATTTTGTCCTGAGAATATGTGACAGCCACAAGAAAGTGAGGCAGAAGGCGCTGGACGTGCTGGCTGAAATCATAGGCCTCCTGGATGATGCCATGAACCCGGTGATGATCCGCTTGGTAGAAGGAATAGCAAAGAACCTGAGCTCAAATGATCCCGGGGTTCATGCTGCAGCTGTGAGAGCACTGGAAGAATCCGTTGCTCATTTAGGTGAGGCTGAGCCCTGGCAGGGACTCCCCTCAACTGCGTCTCCATCTGTCCTACACAAGAGAACACTGAGTGCATTGACAGCTGCTGTTGTCTGTGGAATGCTCCAGCTGACACCCACCAGAAGCTCTGGAGGTGCAGCCCTTATGCACCAGTCCCCCAACAGGCTTGCATGTGATCAGCATTTCCCAAAAGTCCCAGGAGCCCTTGGCTCTGTGCTGCTTGTCTGAAGAGCAGTCCCGGACTACAGCTTTGCTACAATTCAGGGGCAAAGGGGTTTTGGAGTTTGCTTGGGCCCCGTTTGACTTCCCAAAAGAACAGCTTGGCTGTTGGCATGAAGGGACACTGGCCCATCAGAGCTTCTGCACAGCAGCCACCTGGAAGGCTCTACATTATAGGCATTAGCTGCCTATTTTCCCTTTTTCTTCTTTGTCTTCTTTTTTCAAAGGGGAACTTACAATTCACCAAGTTCATTTCTTTATAACAAACAAGTCTAAATCCAGCTGTCAATGGTGCCTTGTTCCACATATTGTTTTGCGTGGGGCAAGATTGCTCTAGCAAATACCTACATGGGCACTGGCTGCTCGAAATTCCTTTGCCACGCAGATTTATGTCAGCTCTGAAAATGGCTGAAAAATTGAGTGTTTGAAGAGGTCTCCAAGGGGCATTTCCACTTTCTCCACCTCAGCTGCTCTGTGACTCAGGAACTGCCTGAGTCAGCGCCTTTCTGTGTCCCAAGGATGGGGTTCTTCCTTTTTGCTGTGGGATACAAACCCTTTTCACTGCTTACATGTGACTGAACTCTTGAGATCCCTGATGTGAAATGTTTTAACAAAGCTCCTGGTACAGAAGACAAGCTTGGATTTACAAATGTGAAAGGAGAGCTTTTCTTTTGGGATTTTAAACCCTGCCAAGTAGGCTGGAAGGAAAGATGAAAAGGGTTCAAAAATCAGCAGAAATTTACTTTCTTGTATAAAATGGAGTTGCTCCTGCCCTTTCCCTCCTCACTGTCCTTTCTCCTATGACCTCAGAAGAGTGAGCAAAAACATGTGTTTCACTTGTAGATAAAGTATCACTGATGAAAGAGTTCAGCCACCAATGGAGCCAACTGAGCGGCCAAGCTCTGCTGGATGTCGCAGAGTGTATCGCAGGTATGGCCTCCAAATATACTGCTGGTAGTAAATTTTTGTCTGTGTTTGATATAGTTCAGTTCAGAAAATAAGCAGAGAGATTTCAGAAACAATGTGAGAAAAATACTTGTGTTTTGGTTACATTTCAATCTGCTGTGTAGCATTTTTCTCTCTCTATGCCCGTATTTCAGTGGACATTATAAGAAAAAATGCCATTAACACTGGGAGAGGAAATGCCATTAAAATGTGGAGATGCCCAAATGCCACGGCAATGGGGTCTGGGTAATTAAGACACGCTGAAGTTTGAAACAGCTCTGTGTTGGGAGCTACAAAAACATTCTGCCAAAGACACCAGCTAGTCACTGATGTTTCTAATCCAGCTGTCGAGCAGCAGCCATCTCTGGTGGGCTGGAGCTTTGAAGTGTGTTCTAATACTGCCCTTTGCTGTGTGCCACTGAGCAAAGGGAAGAGTCAGATTAGACTTTTGGCACTTGAAATCAAAGTCACAGACATGGAGTCACCCCTTTTACTAGAAATCTTTCAATTGCCTCTCTAGGGTGCATTTCCAAATCTTCAGTGTGGGTTTAGACAACTCCTTAATGGGAATAAAATGCAATTTGACATTTCAGTCATTGTTCATGCAGAAACAGATTGTGAAATAATTTAGTAAAGGTACAAAGTCTGCCATAGGTACAAGGCTCTGGTTGGAGAAATTAGTCCTGAGGGGTTGGTGGTTCTGTTTCAAGGACCACCAGCTGCTTTGCCCGTTTCTGGATCATGGGGCTCCATGTGCTATTTCACTGATCTTAGCCAGAGAGGCTTCCAAGAAGCAAAAGCAGAGGTAGATCCTTGTTTGCATGGAGCTTGGTGGGTAAGAAGCTGTGTCTCTCTCCCGGCAGAGCTCGTGGAGTGGGTTTATGCCAGGAGCCCTGAAGTCGTCCAGCGCTATGCCCTGCCCGTGCTCTGGTCCTTCCTGGACAACAAAGCGCTGCCTGTCCGCAGTGCCAACATCCGCACTGTGGCCACCAAGCTTGCCCTGGCCCTCTACGAGGCGATGGGCAACAAGCTGAAGAAATGTGCAGCCAGCAAGCCTCCACACATGCGGGAGAACCTCTCCAACATTTTGTACTGGTGAAGGCAGGATGTTCTCCAGGAAGATGACCAAGTGCTGAGTTGGACACCTCCGGATTTGACTTCTTAGCTGTGCCAAAAATGACAAAACACTAAGGAAGGGTGTGCATCGGCCCCCGCTCTCTCCATCGCCCTTCCTAGTCATGACATGGGGGGCCTGAAGAAACTCCAGACTGAAGACAAGGTGAAGGCTGAGCATGGATCAGCCTCACACAGAGGTGAGGGGGGAGCTGGGCCGCTCTCTGGAGGGAGAAAGGGTCCTGTGGCAGCCCAGAGAGCCTGTGCACATTGCCAGGGAACAGCTGTGCCCCTGGCGTGCTTCAAGTGTCTGCCAGCAGGAACACGCTTCCATGTGCAGCTGTTTAGAAGTTGGCAGGAAATGTGTCCCATGAAATCTACAGCTCAAGCTGCTTTAGGTTTGCATTGTGACATCTGTTAAAACTTTGTGTCTTCACTTTGCAGACCTGACTGGCTATCCTCTTACCAAGAGGTTTTCTCTGGACACTCCTGATTGTCTCTTACCCGCAAAGTCCTTGCTTCCCATCCAGAAGAGCTCTCATCCCTCCAAGCTCAGGAAGAAGCTGCCGCCTGCCTGAAGAGTAGTTGAAGAATAGGATTTATGCATTAGTCTTCATAGATATAGATATACATATGTTCTGATATTTAGATGTAGTTTTGATTAAATGTATTTTGATTGTATCTTGAAATTTTATGACATATTTTTAAGTGTATATATTTTAGTTTTATGATTAAAAAAAAGGTAAATAAATAACTAAACTTTAAATAAGCCAAGCGGAGAATGTGAGACCCAGACCTGTCTAGCCTAGAGGTTATGGGAGTGCAGCTCACTCGATGTGCCAGTGTCTCACCACATCCTTTCATCACTGGGCCTCTCCTCTTCCTCTTTTGACACGTTTTCTTTGTGTCATTTGTGCTGCTCTTTGTCATTTGACATTACAACTCAGCCACCCATTGACATGTCTGGGGGACAATGGACCCACAAGATCCTGTCTAGTCAAAAGTTTTCCATGTAGATGTATTCTGTGCTCACAAAAGGCCTGAGCAAAGAAATCAAGAGGAGTGTGCCCAAATCCCAAAGCTTTGCTCCTTTGCAACCTCACACAGATCTGGCTCACGGGTGTTTTTAATCACAATTTCATAGGTATGAAGAGGACATGAGAAAAGATGCACTGCTTTGGAAAAATCATCTGTATGTATATTTACCCAGGAGAGCAGTCCAACTGTGTTGTTTGCAACCTGTTTGCAGAAGGATGATTGGACTGTGAGTCCAATAACAAGTGACAAGGGTTCCTCAAATCTTTTTACACTCCAGCCTGGGTGCCATTCAGACCACAGTTATAGGATAATACTGTAGTACATCCCACACACATTCTACCTCCAATAAAAGCTTGGCTTGTCTTAATAGAGTGAAATAAATAGAAGAGTAAGAAAATGAACAGTTACACTCGTCACTTTGGAATGACTCTCCTGCTTTCCAGTGTCAACCCTGCACCTCATGCTCCCAAGGCTTGTTACAAACAAGTGTCCGAGATTGCTTATAAATTCTTTGGCAAGGTTCAGTAAAAGCCAGATTGAATATTGAGCAACAGCTCAGCAAAATTCAATGGCAGCACTCACACTATTACTTACTAGTCGATTAAGGCACAACAAGGAAAAAAAGTAACAAATAAAATACAGTCAATCAAACAAGAAATGTACTGAGAACTATATGTGTGTGTGTGTGTGTGTGTGTGTGTTTGTGTGCATTTGAGAAGGGGACAGAAAGAGCAAGGATCCAAAGGAATACCACCTAAAAGCTTAACAGCACTCAAGCTTAACTCCAGGTCAGCTGGAGCCTCCAGGAGTGGGGCTGTTGGCCCAGGATCCATTGTTGATGGGTGATCCTGCCAGAGCAGCAAACCTGCGAGCTCGCTGGCTCTGAGAGGCCCCACGCAGAGGGAGGCTGCTGCTGGCAGCCGCTGTGCTCCAGGAGAGCTCCAAGGGCCTCCTTTTGGAGCGCTGATTATAAAATAAAATGCTTCACCATGGCTGCACTTTGGGTCAGCAGCCTGCCTTTGAAAGTGGGAGAAGAAGGATGTCGTGCCACTGAGGCCAGAAAAGTGGTTTCCAAGGCTGTTCACAGAACACCCCAGGATCTCGTTAGACAGCACAAGTTCCTGGAGCACTCAATGTTTCTGAAAAGCTCCAGAGGAGCTGGGTCCAGGGGCTGTTCAGCAAGGCCGAGGCCTGACAAGCCTTTCTCAAATCACTGTGTGGCCTGACAAGGCCGGGGGGATTCACCACCACAATCTGAAACATGAAGTTTGGATGTAGGGTAAAAAGCCACGGCCCAGTGGAAGTGGGTCATGTCCTCAGGCCTGTGGGAGAATCACAATGCAGATCCTTGTGGTAGTGATTCCATTTCTCCCCACTTTTCTAAATTCTTGGTGGCAAGGTCACTTAGGTTAGACACCCAGCTCACAAGCAGTGCTCCTGAAGTTTTCTGCACAATGAATTAAAATGAGAATCCTGTCACATCCAAAAATTGTGTTCTGTTGTGGTTTAATTACTGTTTTGAAGAATTTCTAGAGCAGCAAATTTGCTTCCTCAAATATTTACTGTGCATGGCATGGAGCACGGAGGAAAGATTTAATGTTAAAAGCATCACCCTGGCAATGTTCTTTTGACAGGTTTTGCCCTGAGCTTTCCTTAGGATTATCTGAAAGATTCAATGTCACTAGCAGAAGCTCCTGCAATGGCTGCTGGCCAGCAGAGAGGGCTGTCAGCTGTAAAACAAGTGTTGCCACAAGCAGCAGCTTACCCAGGGCAGCAAATCAAGAGCTGGGAAGGAGCTCATCTGAAGGCCAAACCTCTTTTGGTCCTTCTAAAAGGCTGGAACAGTTCCTCATTCCAATGAGGCAGATGCTGGACACCACAGCTCTATGTGAGGACTGGACACAAGTCTGCTCCCACTGAGCGCTGTGATGGTTTCTGCAGGAGCTCTGGGCTCCTGCGTGTGGTGACACAATGAGGAGTCAAGGAGCCAAGTGCACTCCTCAAATTCCAAATGGTGCAGGATGTCTCCCAGACCCAACCTGCCACCACCTACAACTCGGGCTGCCCTGGCAGTGCCAAATGCCTCTTACAAACTGACATCAGGAAACTGGGGGGTGAGTGTTGTTTCCCATGGGAAAGGGCTGGCGTTCATTCATGTCCATGGGCCTGCAACTGGAGCTGGTGCTGCATCTTTCACATTGCTTTAACCCCCCTGCCAAGTGCTATCTGTGGCTGAGAAAGGACACAAAAGGATTAACATGACACAGAAGTCTTCCTTTCACTTATTTCCTCTGTGTTAATGAAACCCATCTAATTATCTGGACCTAGGATGGAAGACTCCAGATATAATCTCAAGATGGAAAAGCTAACTGTATTTTGTCATATGCTGCAAAGCAGCATATAACTAAAAATATTGAGGATGGATGAAGGCAAGTACTTTAAATCTAACATTCAATGTGGTTTCAAGCACAGAAAGTTGTTAGTTGTAAGCCAAACCATGCTGGCCTCTGAGAAAGGACCTTCCTCTTCCACTCATCTGTGAAGTATTTCAGATATTCAGGAAAATTATTATTTTTTGGAGTGAAATGCACTATTGTGCAGGGACAACCATTCTTTCAGAAATGCAGCCTACTTATTCACAGAATCATGTGTTTCCAAAAGCCTTGTGACTCAATTTTCTGACACACCATTAGCTTTGTAATGAGAAAGCAAGCATGGTCTTACAGTAATCACAAGTTTTGTATGACAGTGTCTATCTACAGATACAACTAAAGGAAAGTGTGTCGCCCTGATTCTTAAGTTTTTCTAAAGCCTTCTGAGTTTACATGCTATTGGAAAACATTCACACACAGTTTCTATAAATAACATATTGTTTTGAATTCCTTCCTGGGAGTGGAGAAACTTGATGTACTAGTAGTTTGTCCAATGTCTTTGGAGAGGTGGCCCATTCACTCTCCAATCCACTGTCACCTTTGGAAAAGTATGAAAGTTGGAGTCAGAAAATAAACTTTCTCTTTTACCTTGCAAAGTGGCAAGTGGCTCGCGTTGTGCTTTCTCGTGTCCTATAGCAACAAAGGTGCACTAGTACACCAAATTTTACAGCACAGTATCCAGGCTCTAATATCTAAAAAACAAAGCTTTGGGCAAAACTTGCATGACCTTAAAGGTCATTGCAACATTTACAATATCTGCTATATCAGAGGTTATGCTAGGAATTTTATTGAGGTTATTTGCCTCTATAAAGGCCCAAAGATTGGATTCCTAAGCACCTGTGATATGCTACAATCAACTGCCAAAATAATGATTTAATTTTACAGCATATTAGTATTACATAACCAAGTATAATTGTCGCTGTTGAGACAGGACAGGAACAGAGAAACTCCAAGTCAGAAGGCTGAAAGAACTAAACTCAACAACTGTATTTCAAATACATCGCTCTTTTTATAGAGAACATCCTGCAGACCAATTTCATTGGCCTTAAAGTAAAAACATCTCACCCCATTGGTGCGTGCTGAATGGCACACAGTGGCAGAACATATCTATAAACAAAGTATAAGAAAGACGCAAAAGCACAAGGAAACATGACAGTGTTTCGGTAGATTCTCTTTGTCCTGTGAAGTTGAGTAGCTGTTGGTGTTTCTGTGCTGCTGCTAATCCCTTCCATGAAAGAATCATTCCGGGAAGGAGCAACAACATCTGACACGCACCAAGTGTTGCCACCAGTTGCTCCAGGTGCTGCTACCAACAGCCCCTGTAGGACGGAGCACAGCCCCCAGTGCACACCAAAAGCCAGGGAATCTCAGGAAAATGGGAAACTGGACAAGACAAACACAGATCTGAACCAATGTGGTTAATCAAACGTTCTCCGTTTATTCGAGATAAGATGGTAGTTTATATAAGCTTCTACATAGTTTACAGAAACAAAGGCACTCTGATTGCTAGGCTAACAATGTTTACCTTTTCCTTAAAGTGGCTTGAGCCTTACACTATAAACGTATACTAATTCACACCCAGACAGCCCAGTGGTCCCCGTCACACCTTAATACTATTTCTATCTGCGCCACAAGCTCTGAATTTCTAACTGCGTCAGAGGCTTGAAGGCCTCACAAGGCCCAAATCTGAGGCCTAGACTGGAGTAGCTCAACTCTCATAACTCATGTCCTCTTTCTCTGAAAAATGCTGCAACACACACCAGCTTTGGCTGCCCTCTGGCAGAGAAGCCCTTTTGGGGCACAGGTTTCTGGGGCAGCAGACGGGCACCGGTGCTGCCAGGGCTCGGGGGAACTCTGCTTCGGCGGGGACTGTGCCTCAGCGGCTGATGTCAGCGCTCCCCGGGCCCCAGGCTCAGAGCAGCATTCCTGCCCTGGCCCACACGTTCCTGGTCTGTGTCACACGGCCGTGCTTAGGATGGCCACCATGTGGGACGTGTCCCGAGGAGGCCGTGCCAGCTTCTGTGCAGGGCCCCGTGCCCTTCCCGCCGCGGCTGCGTCGGCAGCCCTGGGGGCTCCTGCTGCTCTGAGCCCGCAGAGCAGGGCAGCGTTTGCTGATGGTCTGAGCCGTTCCTAAAGATCCTGTTGGGCTGTCTGACACACCTGGGGCAAGGCATTCCTTCCAACCTGGGCCACTCTGGGGGGCTGGGGGTGGCCCCAGGGCAGGTGGCAGTGCGTGCAAGGGCCCTTTGTGACACGGTGCAGCATGGCCACCGTGGAATGGAACGGGACAGGGTATCCAAGGGCCCTTTGTGACACGGTGCAGCATGGTCACCGTGGAATGGAATGGGACAGGGTATCCAAGGGCCCTTTGTGACATGCTGTGGCATAGGTGTTGGCAGTGACAAGGCCACTCCACAGTGCTCTGTGCACGCGACGAGACAGGACGGAGAGAGCGGTGCTGTAAGGAGCCTTGGCACAGCCACTCGTTCCTTGCTGACCTGGAGCTTTCCCGAGGTATTACTCCTGCAGGTGACCTTGTGGCCAGACCAGAGCACTGGTGACCCCTGGCCTTCCCAAGGCATCTCTTCTGCAGCTGCCCTCGAGGGCAGACCGTGGCATTTGCTTTGCACTGTCCTTGACAGGAGTCTCCTGTCCTTGTGGCTGGAGCCCCCAAGACCAGAGTGCAGGACTTGCTGTCCTGTAGCCTTGCCAAGACTTCACTCTTGCAGGTGCCCTCAAGGCATGACTGCAGCACTTGCTGACTCGGACCTTTTCCTTTTCACCTTCTGCAAGTAGCCATGAATCCAGGCAGTGACGCAGAGCACAGACCTGCGAGCGTGCCCAAGCTGGCCTGGGGGAAGGAGGAGAAAGAAGGCCCTGGAGCTGCCCCAGCACAGCAGCCTGAAGAGGTGGAGCAGTTCCAGCCACTGCAGAAGGGTGAGTGGCAGAGCTGGGCCACAGGGCTGGTGCCTGCAGCCAGCTTGGCCCCATCCCATCCCATCCCATCCCATCCCATCCCATCCCATCCCATCCCATCCCATCCCATCCCATCCCATCCCATCCCATCCCATCCCATCCCATCCCATCCCATCCCATCCCATGCCACGCCATGCCATGCCATGCCATGCCATGCCATGCCATCCCATGCCATGCCATGCCATGCCATGCCATGCCATGCCATGCCATGCCATGCCATGCCATGCCATGCCATGCCATGCCATCCCCTGGGGCCATGCCCATGGACAGGATGGAATAGGGGCCGGGCAGACACCCCACAGCCGTGCTCCATGCCCTGGGGCGGCGCGGGGCTGTCCCTGCCTGGGCAGCGCAGGGCTGGGCTGTGTTCTCCGGCCTCTCCCGCAGCCCCTCAGCTCGGGCTGCGCTCGCTCTTTGCCAGGTGCAGCCGTGCAGCGCACACGAGAGCAGGAACGCACCCGTGGCCGCTTCCGCAGAACAGCGCAGGTACCTGCAGCCATCCCCACCTGGGCTGGGCCTGCTGGCACTGCTCAGCCCAGCACTGTGCTCGGAGCACTCCATGCAACATCCCGGGCTTCTTGCCCTTCTGCTACAGATGGTTTGCAAATTCATGAAGAGGATTCGGGAGGAAGAGAGCAGCGTCGTGGGCACTGTGGTCAGAGCGTACTCTCCCATCTTCAAAACCAAGGCCAGTGCTGCCCTGCTGGATATGCTTGTGGAGGAGGGTCCTTCCAGCCCAAAGCAAGTAAGCAGCCTGTGGCCTGGCTTTTCTCCTCCCAGCAGTTGCGTGGCCTCCCAAGCCACGCCTGCTGCTCCCTGGAAGCCTTTGAGGCCATGGCAGTGTGGTGGCAAGGGAAGCACTTCTCTGGGGCAGCTGGGCACATTCCTTCCTCTGGCAGCTTTCCAAGTCTCCCCTGCCTTCTCCAGGTGCCGGCCATGGTGAGGTACATCCACCAGTGGCTGGTGGCCAATGAGTTTCCTGAGTACAATCTGTACAGGCCCCTTCTGGATCTGACAGAGGCACAGCCCTCTGACGTGGTGATGGCTCTCCTGCGTGTGGCCCCAGTGTGTGACAGGTATGGGGCCCACGTGTCCACAAGGCTCAGCAGCCCTTCACCCTGTACAGCCTGTCCCAGGTGTCTGACCAACAGAGAATTCCAGGGCCCTCTGGCTGCTCCCTTTGCCAGCCCTGGCCCCTGCCAGCCCCCCAGCGTGCTGCCATGCTTCCCCCCTGCCCCTCAGGGGCCAGTCCCCACAGGGCTGGGCTGCCTGCGTGCTGCCAGTGAGGGGCAGTGGGCAGAGGCAGGGCTGGCAGAGCAGCTCAGCTCCCCGCTGCCACCCAGGCCACGCTGCTGTGTCCCAGACTCCTCTGAGACAGAGCTCTGACCCCACAGAGCTGCTTTGGCCATGTGGAAGAGCATCATGTGCTCGCCCAGGACTGCAGAGCCGGCCATGCTCGTACTCCTCGAGGTGCTGGGGAGCTGGCCAGAGCACAGCACGTGCACCTCCGATGGGGACCACACGGCTGTCCTTGCCCTGGCTGTGAGTTTCTGCCTTTGCTGGCCCCAAGGCCACCCCTCCAGCAGCTCTCCATCCTCCCTCCCCCACGGCGTCTCCCTGCCTCAGGCGCTGGGCTGAAACCTGGCCTCGGGGCAGCTTCAGGGCCACCAGGCCCGGTGCTCCCCCTTCGGTGCTCCCCCTGCGTCTCTCCGGGCCTCTCCCTCCCGTACTGGGCCCTGCCACACGGACACCTCGGCACTGAGCGCTGTCTCGGGCTGCTCTGTCCTTTGCAGGCAACCGTGGTGATGTGGAAGATCCTCCAGCTGCCCTGTGTGCCACATGTAGTCACCGTGTGTTTCCCCTGCCTCTTTGTGCATCTGCTCTTCCAAGTGCTCTTCAGCACTCTGGATATGCCAGAGGAGGTCGATACCTTCTGGAAGGGATGCCAGCAGCAACACGGCCTTGCCACCAACCCCAGCAGGTGCTCCATGCCAGTCCTCCTGTCCTTGCCACATCCCTGGGCAGGGGCCAGTGCCCCCAGCGTGACCTGGGCTTTGCTCTGCGCACAGCTTTGCAGAGCAGACCCTGAAGGCCCTGCTCTGCCGACTGCACTATGAGGATGTGGTGGTGGCCATGGAAGACAAGGGTGGCTGGGACACACTGCTCTGTGCTGACACCCACCACTGTGCTGTGGGCGTGCTGGCCAGGTGAGACCCCCTGCTCCCCAGCTGTCCCCGGCATGTGTGCCCTGTGCCCCAGGTGCCCCACACAGTCCCCGTGGCCGTGGGCCAGAAGCCCTTGTCACCAAGGGACGGCCAAGGAGGCTGCAAAAGGCTGGGAGAGGAGCGTGCCCAAGAGCAGCAACCTCCCAGAGGGCTCAGCTGCCCCTTGCAGGGTGCTGGAGAAAGGCCAGACCTCTGGGAGGCAGTCCTGGGAGAGGTTTGCCCCCGCTGGCTCAGGGGTTTGGCTCCTATTTCCTCCTGTCAGAGAAATGCGCCGCGCATCCGAAGCCGTGTGTTCCGCGATTGCATTCCAGCTGCTCGGGCTGCTCAGCAAAGACACGCCATGCCGGGATTTGGCCGCCCTGGCGTTCCTTGTGGAGGTGAGCCTGAAGGCCAGCGCTGCCTCGCTGAGCTGCCTCCCGGCTCTCTGCCCTCTCTTGGCCGCAGTGCCTGGGACGGAGCCCGCGCCCTGTGCTGCTGCCTGGGCCCGGCCCTGTGCGGTTCTGGGCTCCCGCCGGCCGCTCCCCCGTCACTGCCCTGTGCCTTTCAGATCCTGGAGCGCCTGAACCTGAGTGAATGCCGTGACAGCGTCCTGGAGTTCTTGTCAAAGAACCTGCAGAGCGAGTGCAGGGGGAGGCGTCGCTTGGCACTCAGAGGCCTCGTGGTGCTCGGCACCACCAGTGCCTCGGTGAGAAGAGCGCAGGGGCTGAAGCCGTGCTGCCAGCGTGGGGCTGGGGAAGGCAGTCCCTGGGGCTCGGCTGGCCTTGGGGCACTGAGGCAGCTGCTGCCAGCTCTCCTGCCTCCTGCTGCAGCTGCCCGAGTGCTTTGGCACAGGCCTTTGGCCCCTGGGCCCTGTGGCAGCAGGATGGTGTTTCACACACTTGTGTTCCACAAGTAGATGGCCAGAAGGATGTGGAGCCTGCATGAAAGGCTCGTGGAGCTCCTGCAGGAAAATGACGGCGTCATGCTCAGGATGACCACGGTTCTCCTCAGAGCTGTATTTCTCTGCAAAGAGGCCCCAATGACCAGCACCCTCGCCCTGCAGCTGGCTGAGGCGCTCCTGCCACTCTTTGACAACGTAAGGCTCTGCGCCTCCAGCCACGGCCAGCGGGTGCTACCCGCACACTTTGTGCCCTGTGCACTTACAGGCTGTGCCCAGGTGGGCCTGAAGCAGCTGACGCTGAGGTCTTTCTTCCTTCCTTTCATACAGGAGGATAGCCAGGTGCAGTTGAGCTCCATGTTTATCTTCCGAGACATGCTGGATCGTTTTCCGGAAGAGGAAAAAAAGGCCCTGAAGGCACACGTGCGCCAGAGCCTGCTGCCACTCTCCTTCCACTGCCATGATGAGAACCAGCGAGTGGCAGAGGTGAGGACTCGGCAGCTGCTGCTGTTCCCCTGGCAGGGGCTGGGCTGCCCCTGCCCTGGCACCTCGCAGGCTGCAGCCTCCTCCAGGCCTTGGCACAGGGACGGGTCCTGTGCCCTGGGCTGTGGGGCCATCTCCGCGTCTCTGCTGCTCTCCAGGCTTCTCAGGAAACGCTGCTTTGTGCGGCCGAGTTCCTGAAGCAGAGGGATCTCGAAAAGCTGCTGAAGAACCAGGAGCCGTGGAAGTTCACCGAGTGCCTGGTAAGGAGGGCCGGGAAGCCGCAGCCCCAGCCTGGAGAAGCCCCCTGAGCGCGGTGCTCGGTGTGCGGGCTGGCAGCTGTGCCCCTGCCCGCTGCTGCAGCCCGAGGCCGCGCGGGCTCTGCTCCAGGCTCCTGCGGCCCGAGCCGGGTGCCCATGGAGCCCCGGCCCGGCGGGGCTGCGGGGCCAACCCTTCCCTCCTGCCGCTCTCTGCAGCTGGCAGAGGACAGCAGCAGCGTGGCCGAGCACCTGCGCCGGGCCCTGCCCTACCTGCAGAGCCCACAGGAGCCCCTGCGAGAGGCGGCCGTCAGGTTCATGGGTGAGCCACGAGCCGGGCCAGGAGGCCGTGTGGGCACAGGGCTGGCAGCGCCGCTGGCAGGGAGCTGTGCCGCCGGGCCTGACAGGCTCTGTGTTCCCAGGGACGGCCGGGCGGTACCTGAGGGGGAGGAAGGAAGAGCTCCAGCTCATCTCTGAGGGTGAGTGAGGGCAGCGGGCTGCCAGCGGGGGCTGGCGGGGAGCTGCGAGCCCTGCCCCGGCTGCGGAGGGCTCTGCTCCCTGTGCGGACCAGGGCCGGCGTGGGCAGAGCACACAGAGGTTTCAGGGCACCTGGGGGATTCCTGGCCAGCAGCTTCGGGCTGATCCAGCTGGTCCCTGCTCCCTGCTGGCCATGGCCAGAGCCGGCTGGGATGGCCCTGGCACAGAGTCCCCTCGGGTCCCCTCAGATGTGGGAACTGACCATGGCTCTGTTCCTCTCTCTTTCAGCCCTTGAAGGCATGGCCAATGACATCAGTGTCCCTGTCAGAAGCCTGGCAGTTCAAACATTGTACGTCCTCCAGGAAGCAGAGAGAGCTCCATACTCCATCTTTGACAACCTGCATGATCGGCTCTGCAGGGCATGGAGGAGACGGCCTCGTCTGTCGGGGCTCGGCTGGCTGCGCTGCTGGAGCTCTGCAGAGAGCTGATCCCAGAGGCTCTGTCTGCTGGGGCCGCCCGAGCCAGCAGGAATGTTTCATTTGTTTAAGATTGTTCTTTCTGTCTTTTTGTTTTACTTTAGCATATAAATATAGGATGTGTTGTAATAGACAGACTCCCAGGATCTTTCTTTTGCTGCCCAGGCTCTGCAGGGTCTAGGGGAAGAGGGACAAAAGGGATCCTGGGCTCAGCAAGCTGCCCAGGCATGCAGGGTTGCAGGGAAAATGGCCAGAAGCCCCTTGGCCTTTGGTGGTTCTGCCGAAGCCTTTGTGCTGCCCACAGAGCAGATGGGCAGGGGCTGGAGCTGTGGGGATCTCTGTGAGAGCGGTGCCTGGAGATGGCCACAAGCCCTGTCCCAGGCAGGAAGCGCCATCCGTGTCCTCCTGCCCGTGTGTTGCTGCCTGGATTGCTGAGGGCTCCCAGGTGCCTCTGGATGGGCTCCTCTGGAGCTCCTGTGGGGCTGCGGCGCTGCTGCCGGGCAGGTTGGCCGGGCTGGGGAGAGCCTGAGGGGACGGGGCCACAAAGGGATGAGGGGCTGCGGAAGCCCTGACAGGACAAGGCAGTGGGAAGGCACGGGGGGGACGTGTGAGGGAGTGGGTAACGTTGGCTCGGGGAGGAAAGTGGGTTGGAGCCAAAGAGACCACTCACCCCGATGTTCCTGTGGCAAACAGAGCACGTTTATTCTCAAGCCCTTCCTTCTAAAGGGCCTTTGAAAAACCCAGTCTGGATGATTTCACTGGTCTGATCTCTGTGCCCCTTCAGATTCTGGCCTGGGGAATGCCTGCAGCCTTGGGAGAGCTGTGATGGGCCAGGCCCCTGTCAGTCAAACCAGGGCTGGTACATTCACCCCGTACAAGCCAGCCTGCACGGTGACACGGCAACAGAGTGCGAGGCACAGCTGCGGGTGCTCCCCGTGAACCTCAGCTCTGGGACCACTGCCTGCCCCAAGCTTCAGGGGCTGCAGGGGGAGCCCGGCTGGGCTCTGCCCTGGGGCCATCCTGCAGGGACAGCTGCACACAGCCTGCAGCTTTGGGAATGGCATTAGTGCCTAGGCTGGGGGGGAAGCTGCAAGTCCTTGACTGCTGTCTTGTGTTGCTGAGAAGAGGAAGGACATCTTGGAACTGGGGATGCTCTATTTGAAGTCAAGCGGGCAACTTTGTGGTGGGGGAGCTGCGTGGGCCAAAAGGACGCAGGGGTGCCGGTCAAGAGCAGCTGAAGGTGGGCCAGTGTGTGGCCAGGTGGCCAAGAAGGCCAAGGATGCCCTGGCCTGTGTCAGCAGCAGTGGGGCAGCAGGAGCAGGGCAGTGACCGTCCCCCTGGGCTGGGCAGCGCTGCGGCCATGGCTGGGAGTGCTGTGTCCACTTGTGGGCCCCTCTGAAGCAGAAAGTCCTCGAGGGGCTGGAGCGTGTGCAGAGAAGGACACGGGAGCTGGGGAAGGCTGTGGAGCGCAAGGCCAAGGAGGAGGTGCTGAGGGAGCTTTAGCCTGGACAACGGGAGGAAAATGGTGAACATGGAAAATCCCAAGATGAAATACACTGAACTGGAAGATATTGGCAAGGGGTGAGTCCAGCCACAGTTACTTCTACACAACCATGGGCCAGGTGTTTTGCTGGTATATCAGGTGTTTCACTGGAAGATCTATCCAGTGTGAACTCAGGCCAGCTGCAAACGTGTTCAGATACTGGGGATAGATTGTCCCATCGCTTCAGTGCTGCTCAGAATTTGTGTGTGTGCTCAGAAAGCATTGTCAGAGACATCTCCATGCTGCCGAGGTCTTGCCTGCATCAAGGAACAGGACCTGGAAGATCTCTTTGTCTCTCAAGTGTGGGACAGCTCTGTGTTAACTTCTTTAGCATTTTTGTATGTCTCAAAATCACACTGCCACACTAATGAAAAAAGAAGAACCTTGCTTGCCTGAAAGAGCAACCTACCCCCTATCAAAGCTGTGAAATAACAGTTCTCAGGAACATTTCTTTCCCATGGTTTGTGGAAGGAAATATTGCACGGTCAGGATAGGAACCACACAGTTTAGAAACTGAAACCCAAGATGAAAGAATAAATTCCCTTTAGGAGCTGAGGCAGTAAACCCCAACGCTTCAGCAACCGGCCCAGGCACTGCCCATGCATTTGAGAGGAAAAAGGATCATCTGCCTTCTGACAGAGCCCTCCTGCATCCTGCAAGTTTTAGGCATTTACAGCAGAGATCTCCTGTGTGGGCTGGCTTTCACTCTAAGAAATAAACAGCTTCTCCTTTCTCTGCTTCTGTTTTGTTTCTAGGACTTTTGGACATGTGGTTAGAGCACTCAACAAAGCCACAGGAGGAGAGGTAAATGTCAACAGCCCCCGCAGACTCTGCTGCACCCGAGGGGCTTTCTCCTCTGGTGTGGGCAGCTGTGGCCAGAGCTTTGGGCAGAGCTGTGCTGAAAAGGCAAAAGAAGCACAGACTGGTGCCAGCCTGCAAAATACATTTGGGACAGTCTTTGTCCTTCTCAGCTGCCAAAAAGAAGGCCCAGAGGGCAGCAGTTCATTTCGGAGAAGGATGTGCTCACTCGCTCTCAATTGCTAAAACAAAGGTGGTGCCTTAGAGCATCTCACTGCTCTTTGGGGCGACAGCTTCCGAGTCCTGAATTCTCATCTCTGCCTGCCAGAAAATGCATCTGAAAGTTACTGGCAGTTCCTCAGCCACCTGCAGTGCTGCACTTGGGAACTGCACACAGGGAGAGATCTGCAAGGCATCCCTAAAAGCCATCGCCCAAGTTGTATCCACAGAGTATTGAGGCATGGATCACTTCTTCTGAATCCCATACAAAGCAGCAGGGAGTGTGCTCAGAGGTTTGTGGGTGATAGCTGAGACACCACTGTTAGCAAGTGGACACGGCAAAACCTCAGTGGCCCCGTGTCCTGTAACTGGCCTCCAAGGGCGCGGAGCAATGGGCTGTTGCAATGTCAGTTCCAGTTCCTGCAGTGCCTAATCACGAGGCAGTTTGGCACAGCTCGGCTGCGTCATTGCAAAATCACTCGCTCCATGTGCCTTGTGGTCTCGTGCCACCAACTTCTCAAGTTACTGATTTTCAGTGTCATTTTAGGTTGCCATAAAGAAAATAATACTTAAAGGATTGAAGAGGAAGCAAGTAACCGTTAATGAAATCAGTATCATGAAGAGGCATAGGAGTCCCAGTGTTGTGAATTATTTAGACAGGTGAGTGGTCATGGACTTATCCCATGAATGTGTGTTTACATACAGCAAACACGAGAGGTTAAAAACCCACTTTGGTCACTTCTAGAAAGTAGAGCTGTTAATTATTCTGTATTAATATTTCTCTACTCATCTCCAATGGATGAGAAGAGAGTGCATCTTGTCTGCATGAGTCTTCCCTGGCACATGTAGTTTGAAAATTATTCAGAAATTATTCAAAACCTGGATCAGCTGTATCTTACTAAGTTAATACCCTCTAAGTTCACTGCCTCCACATTTTTTTGGGATTGCTTTTTAAAAGTTTTTTAAATGCTGGTGAACCATCCTAAAGCTGATTTCCCTTGGATTGTTGCCCTTCTTTTCCATTGCTATGCATGCCAGGAAGACTAGGTGCTTATTTCCAGAAACACCATGCGTGACAGGCTTTTTATCTGGGCTGTTACTAAACCATGATTTTCGTTCGCTGGCCATCTAAGACATCTCCTTTTTCACAGCTGTTCTTTTCTCCTTGAGACTGCACAGATTGCAAACAACACACAGCCAAGAGGGAATGTCTATTGCTTTGATTCTGCCTTTGTCTCAAAGGGACCCAAAACCAAGAATCAACCCCTGTCTTTTCCAAACAGCAATGTAGCCATGTACGTTCATCCCCGTGCCCTTGTTTCCTTCTTTCAGCTCCCTTCTGGGTGAGGAACTCTGGCTGGTCATGGAGTACATGGACGGAGGCACTCTGAGCGATGTCATCAGCAAGACCTGCCTGTGTGAAGGTGACATAGCATCCATCAGTCAGGAGGTCAGCAATCCCACCTGTGCTTCCAAGGGTTTGGGCAGGATTGTCTGGGAAACAGGGGCTCAGAACAGGAGAGGTTTCATGTATAAAGCTTTGTTTCTGCATTGCTGGTATGCTATGGGCAAGTAAAAGCATCTCAAGTGAAATGCCTGCCAGTGCCCTCGCACTCACTGTACTCTGTTCTTGTACTCTTATCTCCTGCTGTTGTATTCTCACTCTGCCTCTTGTATTTGCTGTTCTCCATCTTGCCTCCTTAAACCTTTGCCTGTCTTCACTGCATTCCTTGCTTGTAAAAGCAAAGGTGCTGGTAGCAGGATTTGAAACGAACAGCAAAGGAAAAAGGGGAGACTCATTTCCCTCAGTCCTCAGCTAAAACCCACAGTAGTGCAGCCAAAATGCGCTTTGCTTCTGAGCACACCCACTGCAGCAGCAGTCATCCTGGCTGGTTTGCAGGGGACAGTGTACAACAACAGCAGGTGCTGTTGCTCTTTCAAAAGCTGGCATGCCTTTCCTTAGAAAGGTCCTGCTCTGCAAGTGTTGGAGCAGCAGCTCTTCCTCTCAATGGCGCTGCGTTCTGCCATTACTCGCCATTCCCCCGCACAGGGCATCTTTTAGATTCTTTGTTTCTTTTCTTGTGCCATGGAATCACAGCGCTAATTTTTGCCCTCCTGTTTCTGTTTTCTCTCTCAGTGCCTGCAAGGACTGGATTTTCTTCCCTCAAACCACGTAATCCACCGAGATGTGAAGAGCAGCAACATCCTTTTCGGAGCCGACGGCTCTGTCAAGCTGGGTCAGTATATCCTTGGTCAGGTGCAGTGTTCCAGGGATGTGGGGTGAGGGGCTGCTTTGAGTGACTGCCAGCTCCCCAAAAATGGTGCTGGGGGCAGTGCAGGGACCCCCCCACTGTGAGCTGATGGCACGGTTGCAATGTGCACAGAGGTATGACGAGGAACAAGCAGCCAAGAGTGGCATTGCTCTGTGTGTGTCCCTTCCAGAGGGAGGCAGTTACAAGTCTAAAGCTTCCAAAGAACAAAAGCCACTGCTGAAGGCAGTGTAAAAAATGTGGGGATTTTTTAAGTCGCCAATACCATATTTCCTTGGCTAAAGTCCTGAGGAAACAGAGC